CAGCCATTACGACGACGTCAAACCGGGCGAAATCGGTCAACGCAAAAACGGCGTGCTGATTTCCAACGCCACCGGCAAAGCGCTGGCATACGCGTTGTGGGGCTTGCAGGAACGCGGCAAATTAATGGCGGAACACGGTCAGGAAGTGTACGAAGGTCAAATCATCGGCATTCACAGCCGTTCCAACGACTTAACCGTAAACTGCCTGCAGGGCAAAAAACTGACCAACATGCGCGCCTCCGGTAAAGATGACGCGATTCAGTTAACCACGCCAATCAAGTTAACCCTTGAACAAGCCATCGAATTTATCGATGACGACGAACTGGTGGAAGTCACCCCGCAATCCATCCGCATCCGTAAAAAACTCTTAACGGAAATGGATCGCAAACGCGCCAACCGCACCACCACCAGCACCAGCACGCGTTAACGAAAAAACATTGAAAAAATCGACCGCACTTTTGTGCGCGACGAACCGATAATCTCAACCGCGCCGATAAAAAGGCGCGGTTTTTTTTTATGTCAGGTGAAAAATTCGATCAAATTTACATTAACTTGACATTCAAAACTGATAAACTTCCCCAAAAAGATCGATTTATTTCCGCTAACCGGCTCTTTTTGCTCAAAAAATAAGCTTAATTACAAGCGGTTAGTATTGTATTCGAATTTTTATTTTGCTAGGATCGCGTTGCTTACATAACTTTACAGAACTTTAGGTTGTTTTAGTTGTCGCTAATGTAATTTTTACACAAATTTACAAAGTGTGGCTAAAGTGGTGAATTATGTAATCGGTGATCAATAAAAAAACGGATCACCATCAGCTATAAAAAAATCTCAATACATTTAGGAGAAATCTATGTTAACCAATTTCACAACTAAAACCTATATTGCAACAACGGAAGCTATCCGTCGTTTCAAACAGGATCATAAAGGCGTAACCGCTATCGAATATGGTTTGATTGCTGTGGTTATGGCAGCGTTTATCGTATTCGCCTTCTCAGACAACGAGAATAGTTTCGTTGGTGCGTTTAAAAGCGAAATTTAATTCATTAAAGGATAGTGTAAAAACTGATGCACCTAAATTTGGTGGTCAGTAATAATTCTTCATTGATGGCACAGGTATTTTTGCTTGTGCCGTCCTTAATAAACTAACAGAAAAATTGTTACTTCCATCATGCCAACCCACCAACTGATTATAGGGCTTGATTTAATCGCTGCGTTGCAATTGCTTTACCTTTGTTTCACGGATATTAAATCAAGAATTATCGACAACCGGGTGATTATCAGCTTGTTTTTCACCATGGCGGCGTTAAGTTGGCTGAAATACGAACAGGTGTTTGTGCTGCAGGCGGCTGCCGGACTGGCCATTGGTTTTCTTTTATTTACGTTGAATGTGATGGGCGGCGGCGACGCCAAATTAATTGCGGTGTTAATGCTTGCCGTTCCTTCGCAACAACTGATTTCTTTGTTTTTTTTGACCGCACTTTGCGGTTTGTTGTTGATTATTATCGGTTGGCTGTTTTTCCGCCAATCCATTAAACAAAACGGCTTGCCTTACGGCGTGTCCATCAGTTTCGGCTATTTCGCCACCTTATTTTTATACGCTTCCTAAGGGCCAGCACCTGTAACGGGGCGGAAAAGGATATAATATGAATTACAGAGTGTTGTTTATTATCTCATTCCTTATCCTCGCCATGGGGCTGAGCGGGCTGTTTTTTATGTTTCCCGATGAAAACCAAAGCGCCCCGGCCCAAAACCAAACCGCCGGCGAACAACCCGTCGCCAAACGCCAAACCGCCGTTCTGCTGGCGCAAACCACCCGTTCCGTTCCGCAAGGCACCTTATTACAGGCGGGCGATTACGCATTTAACGAACTCTCCGTGGACAGCGACGATCCCCGGCTGAAATTCGATTTAAAACCCTTATTTGAAAACACCGACAATTATTCTCTGCAAGGATATTTGGTTAAACAACCGCTGCAGGCGGGTTCTTTTTTATCCGCCAATCTGCTGCTTTCACCGCAACATCCCGATTATTTGTTTTCCAGCCTCGATCCTAAACGGGAAGTGCCTTATCGCATTTATATCAAATATGCTGACCGTTATATTTTCGACAGCTTAAAAAACGGCGCCGTCGTTTCCATTTCCAGCCAGCAAGCGATGAACGGACAAAACCGGACGGAGCGCAACACCTTAATCAGACTGATCGACAATGCCGTGGTATTGCAAACCAAAATTTATACCCAGGAAGAACAGTTATTAGACAAGGATAGAAATATCTTCGGTTACGTCACCGTTAAACTGGACGTCGAACAAATGAAAAAATTTTATTCCTTACCTAAGGACGCCCATTTAATTGTGCTACCGAATAACGAACCACCACAGGGCGCAACCAACCATCGTGGCATTTATGTCAGAAAATTGAGAGGTCAATAATTTATGCCGACTTACACACAAATAATCAGAAAAACGATTACCGCCGGTTTAACCGCATTGATGATGACCTGCGCTACCACGGCTTTCGCCAAACAACTGTATTTGGAACAAGGCAAAAGCAAATTTTTCGTGCTAGATAAAAAAATCGATACGATTTTTGTTTCTTCTTCCGAAGTGGCGGATTATGAAATTGTGGACGATTACAGTTTTATGGTTTTCGCCAAACAGGAAGGCACCACGGATGTTACCGCCTTTGACGAAAACGGCAAAATTCTGTTATCGGATTCGCTGACGGTGAACGCCTTTATTAACAATATCGTCGATACCAACAAACAAATTAAAGCCCGTTTCCCGAATACTAAGTTGGAAGTAAAGAAAGTGGGCAAAGCCTATGTGATCGAAGGAGACGCCAATTCTCAGCAGGAAAGCGAAGAAGTGAACCGTATTGTGGGCGAGGCTATCGGTGTTACGCCGAAAGTGACGGAAACCATATTAAAGCGTGGTAACGGCATGTCCGATGAAAAATTACCGTTCCTGGATAAATACGAATATAACGGCGTGATCAATAATGCCAATATCGGCGAAGTCACCCAGGTAAACGTGAAATTAACGGTGGCGGAAGTGAATAAAACCTTCTCGGATTCCTTAGGCATTAAATGGGAACATTTATCCGGTTCCGTCCTACCAAACTGGAGTTCCGGCAGCAACTTATACAGTGCGGCGTTTGACGGTACGACAAGTTCAATCGCATTGATTAATGCGGATCGCCTCAGCGCATTTATCAGCGCAGTGAATAATTCCAATAACGGGAAAATTCTGGCGGAACCGAATATTTCGATGCTGTCCGGTGAAACCGCGGATATTTTAGTGGGCGGAGAAATTCCTTTTGCTCAGCGAGACAGCGAGGGCAACGCCACGATTATTTATAAAGATTTCGGGGTGAAGCTGATGGTGGGCGCCAAAGTGCAGAAAAACGATCGAATCCGCCTGGCGCTGGCTCAGGAAGTGAGCACCTTAGCAGGAAATTATACCTATGCGGATGTGGGAGATATTCCTTATTTCCAGACCCGCCGTTCCAAATCCACCTTTGAAGTGGGCGACGGCGAAAGTTTTATTATCGGCGGCTTGCTGAGTTCCAGCGATCTGGAAGGACTTTCAAAAGTGCCGCTATTGGGCGACATTCCGGTGTTAGGCGCATTTTTCCGTAGTGTGACCACTTCCCGCGAAACCAAGGAATTAGTGGTGGTGGCGACGGTGAATTTAGTCAAACCGAACGATGTGGAAAATTTGGTTTATCCGTCATTTGATCAAACCGGCACCCTGGAGCGTTTTTTCAACGTCACGCCGTTTAAGAACGTTTACCATAAAACCCTAACCTCAAATTTCATGAAAAACGGCGGGTTTATCCAATAATTACGGGCAAAACTGATCATGCTATTACTTGATAAAAACAAAGCGAATCCGGTCGGCGCCCGTAAAATCGTGGTGTTATCGGATTGTGCGGAAATGCAAAACAACGTCTCGCAACTATTGCGCACCGGCGGTTTTGAAAATATCGAACAGCTTAAACGCTATTTTCTTTCGGAAAATATCGGATTTAATGCGGAAGATATTCTCGGCATGATTGTAGATATAAAAGATGAAACGGATATCGGCTTAATTACCAAGCATATCAACGCCATCGTACCGCAAAATCTCTGGGTTTGCGCCATAGGTACTTCGGATTCCATCACTCTGGCGCAGAATCTGGCGAATGCCGGAATTTTATATTTCCATGCCGGCACTCAACTGCATTTAATGATGGATAAGATCAGCTCCGCTAAAGTCAGCCTTCCGCATACCAGAAATACGGTGAAAATATGCGTTCTGGGTTGCAAGGGCGGGATCGGCAGCAGTTTGATCAGCATCCATATTGCAAATCAGATTATCAGCAATAAAAAGGTACCGGTGTTATTGGCGCAAGGCCCTAACGGTTCACAGGATTTGGATCTGGCCTTCGATAAAAAATTACAGGGCGATATTTCCAAATATGACGAATATCTCGATCTTTTTAACGGTATTCCTCATAAACTGAACGATAAAGTCACGGAAAAATATAATTTTATTATTTACGATCAACCGATTTTTAATATCGATAAGGATCTTTATCCCGAGTTTTTTGAATACAGCAATAGTTTTGTTTTAGTGGTGGAACGACGAATCGCTTCGTTGCGTGTGGCTAAACAATTTTTGGAACAATGCGAGCGGATTCGCAGCCTTACCAATCAGGCTATCAGAGTGTTTATTTGCATTTCCGATCATAAACCGAAAAGCGAGAAATTAATGGCCAAATCGGATATCGAGACGTTACTGGGAGCCCAGGTTGACGCAGTGATTCCCTTTATTAAAAACACCGAGGCTAAAACCGTCATGGGGTTAAATTTAAGCAAAGCCCATAAAAAATCTTTTTACAGCCTGGCAATGAAAATTATCGGCGTATTGTCGCGGAATAATTTGAACAACGAAAATAAAAGTTTGTTCATAGGACTTTACCGTTTGTTATTCAATCGTTAGAGATGAAGGCATTCTATGTTAAGCAAAGAACAACAGGTTTTTTTCCGTAACGAAGTGTTGAGCAATCTGGATATTGAAAAACTCGACGAAATCCAGAGCGAATACGGCAAATTGGTTGACGAACTGGTGCAGATTGTTTATCAGGTCAGCAATCAGCACGGTCACTACCTTACCGCCCTGTGGTATCAACGCAGAGTACTGATCATCGCTGATGAAATCACCGGTTACGGTCCGCTACGGGAATTAATGGAAGATGACACGGTTAACGATATTCTGGTGAACGGCCCGAACGACGTGTGGGTTGAACGCGCCGGTATTCTGGAAAAAACCGATAAACAATTTATTAATAACGAACAGCTTACGGATATTGCCAAACGATTGGTGGCACGAGTCGGACGACGCATCGACGACGGTTCGCCGCTAGTGGACTCCCGCTTGCCGGACGGTAGCCGTCTCAATGTTGTGGTACCGCCTATCGCCTTAGACGGAACCTCTATTTCCATCCGTAAATTCAGCAAAAATAAGAAATCTTTACAGGAATTAGTGAATTTCGGATCCATGACGCTGGAAATGGCGAATTTTCTGATTATCGCCGCCCGCTCCCGGGTAAACATAATCGTTTCCGGCGGGACGGGTTCGGGTAAAACCACTTTATTAAACGCTTTATCCAATTATATTTCCCATACGGAACGAGTGATTACTTTAGAAGATACGGCGGAATTACGTTTAGAGCAGCCTCATGTGGTGCGTCTGGAAACCCGTATTGCCGGGGTCGAGCGAACCGGCGCCGTTACCATGCAGGATTTGGTGATTAATGCGCTGCGTATGCGTCCCGAGCGGATTATTGTGGGGGAATGTCGCGGTGCGGAAGCGTTCCAAATGCTACAAGCGATGAATACCGGCCATGACGGTTCAATGTCTACCCTGCACGCCAACAGCCCGCGCGACGCCACTTCCCGTCTGGAAAGTATGGTGATGATGTCGAACGCGTCATTACCCTTGGAAGCGATTCGACGCAATATCGCCGCCGCGGTAAATATTATTGTGCAGGCTTCCCGCTTAAATGACGGTTCGAGAAAAATCACCAATATTACGGAAATTATGGGAATGGAAAGCGGACATATCGTCCTGCAGGATATTTTTACTTATCAGCCGAGCAAATACCGTGATGAAAACGGGAAAATCATCGGTGAGTTTATTTCTCACGGGTTATTATCCAATTCAGTGGTATACCAGAATGCGCAAATATTTAATTTAAGTAGCGAATTACAAAGTATATTCGGGAACTCGCAATGACTTTATATTATCTGATAATAATTTTCGGTTTGCTGCTATTCGCTTATACGGCGATTAGCCTGAGTTCCGCCAAGAAGAAAGTTAATCAGCATGATAATTCCTTTAAAAAATTAAGCGAATATTTTGATCAGGTAAAACTTAAAGTTACGCTCTGGAAATATTATTTTACCGCCGGCAACGAACGGAATTTTCTGAGAAATATATTATTAACCATAATTATATTTTTCTTTTTCCATGTTCTGAATTATTTATATCTGAAAATAGATAAATTTATCTTTTTAGCCGTATTTATTTTCCTTTTCCTGACTATCGTATGGAAACTGGGACAACGGCGGAACAGAAAGGAATTTGAAGAAATGTTTCCCGAAGTGATTCAGATTCTTAACTCCGCAACTTCCTCCGGCGCCGGCTTATTGCAAGCGCTGGAACGCTGCGGTAAAGACATTAGCGGACAGATCGGGGAAGAATTTACCAACGTTCATAAACGTCTGGCCATCGGCGAGGATCCGACTTCGGTGTTTGAAGACAGTTACACCCGTTATCCTTATAAAGAATATTATTTCTTTATCACTATTATTCGGGTAAATCTGGATAAAGGCGGACAAATGCGGGAAGTCATCATGCGTTTGGGACGAGTTATTGCGGACAGCAAAAAAATGGAAAAAAAGAAAAGCGCAATGACTTCCGAAGCCAGAATGTCGGCAATGATTGTGGCATCGTTTCCCGTGGCATTCTTTATTTTCATGAAATTTATGATGCCGGAAAATTTTGATTTTTTATTAAACGATCCGGGCGGGCGGATGATTTTGTATTACGTATTAGGCAGTGAAGTACTGGGCATGCTGATTATCTGGTGGTTAATGAGGAAAGCGACATGAAAATGGGATCCTTATTATTTTATCTTTCACTGATATTATCAGGCTTTATCATATTTTTATTAGCGGTTTCAAATAAGAAAAAATTAACCCGTAATAAAGATATTCTTTCCGGTACCTACCCGAAAGAAAAAGCCAATAAAGAGCCTCAGGGTAACAAAAATAAGCAACAGGTAGAATTAGAACAGTTATTAATTACGAATAATAAATTATTAAATACATTAAGCGAAATAGATAAGAATATTAAGCTGAAACTGTTTATTACCCTGTTATTAACGGGAATTTACGTATTGTTTAATCCGGAGTCGGATCGAAAAGGGTTGGCGATTGCGGGCGCGGTTATTTTTGTGTTGACGATATTAATACCCGGCTCTTTAGCCAATATGATCTTGAAACGCAAAGTCAAAAATATGATGACGGATTTGCCCAGTTTTGTGGATTTAGTAGCGATCTGCGTGCAAACCGGGATGACCATTAATGCGGCTTTGTTACGTGTTGCCGAAGACTTTAAAGTGCTGAATCCCGATTTAAGCTATGTCATGCTCAGAGTTATCCGCAAAGCGGAAATTGTCGGTTTACTCTCGGCATTGGATACTCTGGCGGTCTCCTTACCGACCCGGGAAATTCGAATGTTTACTACCGTATTGCAGCAAAGTTTAAATTTCGGTTCTTCAATTTACGGTCATTTATTGCAATTGTCATCGGATATGAGGGAACTGCAACTGCTGACTATCGAAGAACACTTGGGTACGCTTTCCGCGAAGATGAGCGTACCGCTGATTATATTCATTATGTTTCCGATTATTATTTTAATTGTCGCACCTGGTGTGATGAGGGTATTTCCAAATGTTTAACAACTCAACAAAAAAAGTATTATTTTTATCTTTAATTTTTGCTCTTGGCGGTTGCTCGGTTCTTCCTATGAGTCAATCCGAAAGTATTGCCGCAAAAGAAAAACTCTATCAATCCACAAATAATCACAGCGGTTTGATTTCCCTTTACCGCGAACAGTTAAAAACGGAAGAAAATAACGCCGTACGTTATAAGCTGGCATTAGCTTATTATCAGAAAGGAGACAGCCAATCCTCATTGGATTACTTACAGCCTTTACTGGATGAGAAAAATATTTATTTTACCTCGGCGACCGTATTACAGATTCGTAATTTAATTCAATTGAAGAAATATCATGAAGCCATTGATCTTTCCACTATGCTGATAAATAAACATCCGCATATTTCCGAAGCCTATAATTTACGCGGTATTGCTAATGCGCAACTCGGCAACTATAAAAGCGCCGAACAGGATATTCATGCCGCCAGAAAACATTTTATTAACGATGTGATTGCTATTAATAATCTCGCCATGCTGAAAATCATTAACGGCGAATACAGAGGCGCGGTGAACTTGTTATTACCGCAATATTTGAACGGCGTAAAAGAACAGCGTCTGGTTCATAATCTGGTATTCGCCCTGGTTAAGAGCGGAGATACGGATTACGCACTGGATATCATCAAAAAAGAAAACCTAAACACTTCACCGAAAGATTTGGTCAACGCCTTAAAAAATACCGAAAAAGTGGGCAATACCGGCACACCGGTACGGCCTAGAAGATAATCCTTTAACCCACAATCGGGGGCGGAAAAATGAACAAAATAAAACAACTGTTATTTTGCCGGAAAGGAGTTTCCACCATTGAATTTACCTTAACCGTCGGTATTTTCTTTATGGTTGTGTTTATGATTCTCGAACTCGCCCGCTTAACATTATTTACCGCTTATTGGGATTATCTGTTAACGGAAACCGTACGGATAACTAAAAACCAACGGGCGGAAAATAACGATTACGCCGCATTGTTCAAACGGATTTTAACTGAACAGCACCGGCAACAGGGTAACCCCGTATTAGCGCTTTTTGAGGTTCGGGACGAAAAGGTGGAGGCGAAAGTGGAATATGCGGAATCCGTTGATGATTTGGTGAATGAGGTCTTCAGACAACCTACCGTCGTTAACGGTGTAGCCGTTTCGCCGACCGGTGCAAACGCCAGTATCGCACGTTACAGCCTGAATTACAGTTATCGGTTTTTAGTGCCGCTGCCTTTTATCGCTCAGGAATGGATTAGCCCGATGTTTAAACGGGAAATTTTTGTGGTGCAGGAATATGAACGAGACCAATTCAGATACTAACCTTTTGCGCCGTTTTATTCGCCAACAAAGCGGATCCGTGACGATCGAATTCGTATTCATGCTGATTCTGCTTATTCTGATTCTGGCTTTTATGGCGGATTTGGCAATTTTGCGTTCGACCGCCGGTAGACTGGATAATATTTCCTACTCGCTGGCTAACATTTTGCGCGAACGGACTCAGTTATATAACGGCAACGAAAATCTCGCCACCGAACGGGTAAATAATCGTGACGTTACCCAATTCAAATCATTGGCGACCCGAATGGCGTTCGGCGATAAAAACAGCAGCAAAAAAATCTATGTGGTTTTAGAGTACCTGGCGCCGGAAAACTCCACCTATCGGATAATCGGTGATACGGATAAATGCAAACCTTATGAAGCCTTGCAAAACCTGGTTAATCTTTCGCCGCGCTCCGAAATGAATAATTCAAGAAAAATCCCCTTATACCAGGTTACCGTTTGCGTACCGAATTACAGCTTTTTCAGTACATTAGTTCCGGGCGTGGCAAAAAATATGGATGAGACGGTACGCTCTTCCTCCATTACGGTTTCCCGCTAATATTCAGAATAGGGAATGGATGATGAAAATAAAAAATTACACTGCGTTATTACGCCGGTTTTATCGCAATGAACGCGGCGCCTATACGGTAATGATGGCAATTATGTCCTTCGCTTTGCTGGGTATCGTCGCCTTAACCGTTGACGGTTCGGGAATGCTGCTGGATAAAGCCCGCTTTTCACAGGGAATCGAACAGGCGGGATTGGCGTTAATGGCGGAAAATAATGATTTCAGAAATACGAACCAACGGCATGAAGACGTAATGCGCCAAACCGTTAGTAAACAGGAAATGGAAGGTTTTACGGATACCTTTTCGGCACAAAAGTATAAGCGTAATCAAGAGTTGGTTCGCGGACTGGTCCGGCATTATTACTACCCTTCCACTTATCGTGAAAATAATCGGGAAATTAATGATAAATATTATTATCAATGCGATAACCTAAAAGGTCCGAACGGCGAACAACTGAAAAGTATCGCTTGCGAAATTTCCGGCGAGTTTGAACGCCCTTCCTGGCTTTATCTCGGTAAAAATAACGGTTTAAGCTTTGCCAAAACCACCACTATTAATGCAAATAAAATCTACGTACAGAAAAATCTGGATGAAATTATCCCGATTGATTTAATGCTGGTGACAGACTTGAGCGGCTCAATGAATGATGATGTGAACGGAAGAAGATATGGTACCGCTAAAATAGATATTCTTCGGGATGTCGTTGCCTCAATTGCGAAAGAGTTGCTTGAGCAAAATAATACTGAAGAAGGCAAAATAATCAGTAAATATAACCGAATCGGTTTTACTTCGTTTGCTTTTGGTGCGCAGCAACAAAGCAATTCTGCTAAATGTTATTTACCTTATGAAATAAAAAAGAATGTCAGACTTGATGGCTATAATTATGGACGCAATAATTCCATTAGTTATACGGAGCTTCTCTCTTATGTAGGCGGAAGTTATCAGAGTTATTTTTATCTAACATTAGCTGAACATTTTGATGCTCTTGTTGATTACGATAAAACTATTGACTTAATCGATTCTTTTAACGGAAAAGATTTTAATTATCTGATGACTTTTAATAAAAATTCATGGTGCTTAGGTAGTGCTAATACCCGTATTAATTCCACTTATATCTGGGCAAAAAAGAATGAATCAGCCAATCTTATTAGCCGGTTTAATCAGGTTCCGGCTACAGGGGCGACATTATCCAGTTCCGGTTTATTAATCGGCGCAAATTTATTAACGAATACCAATCCTGATGAAGAAGCTCAACCGAGTAAATTAGGCGCCAATACACAGCGAATTATCTTGGTGCTTTCCGACGGAGCGGATCAAATTAGTAATGCCAACAGTTCGTTAAATATTACAAGTAATCTAATCAACCAAGGCATGTGCGAAAAAATCAAAAGTAAACTGGATTCATTGCAGGATAAAACCTATCTGGAACAACCGACCCGTATCGGTTTTGTCGCTTTTGGTTACGGTCCGTCGGGAACACAAAAAGCGGCGTGGGAAAAATGTGTGGGCAAATATTATTATGTTGCCAATAACAAGGAAGAACTTTTAGAATCTTTCAGAAAAATTATCGGCTTGGTGGAAGAAGTCGGCCACTCAATTTACCAGCCGCCGAGCTATTACAGTAATTAACGGAAAGCCTTTCCGTTAATTACTCAAAATACCGCACTTTTGCTTAAAAGTGCGGTCAATTTTTTCATTGTTTTTTGAAACGGGCATAGCAAAGCCGGTGCCCGGCACTATGCCGTTTCGTCCTTATTTATACGCCGTCTCATTCCAACGTAATTCATTTTTCAATTGCGCCAGTTCCGTTTTTGCGTTGATATGAATAAATTCAATGTCGAAGTATTCCGCAAAGGTTCTCAGCATTTCCGCATCAATATCCAGACTGAATACGTTGTGGTGAGCGCCGCCGGATAAAATCCAGGCCTGGGTGCCGGTGTCAAAGTCCGGCTCTAATTTCCAGAAAACATGACCAACCGGCAAATTCGGCATATCCTGCGGTTTATCCACGGCGTTCAGTTCGGCGGTAATCATTCTGAAACGATGACCTAAATCCACAATGGTAGAAGCGGTGGCTTTACCCGCTTTGCCGCTAAAAATCAGGCGAGTCGGATCGTCTTTGCCGCCGATGCCCAACGGTTTGATATCGAGAACCGGTTTATCTTTCGCAATAGACGGACAAACTTCCAGCATATGTGCGGCAAGCACCACTTCGTTATTGTCTTCCAGGTTGTAGGTGTAATCTTCCATA